ATATATATATGTGTGTGTGTGTGTGTGTGTGTGTGTGTTTTGAACAATAAAAAATATTAAAAAATTAAAATCTTCAGAGACACTGTATTGTATATTAATATTCTTTTGTTTTTTATTATTTCAATTAGATTCCTTGACTAGTTTCAGCCAGCATAGCCATCATCAGGAGAAAAGGAGTTTATTAAAAAATTGAGATTAAAATATTCATTTCTTGATTAAAATATTAATTTCAGTTTATAAAAAAATTTCATTTCATTTTAAATTTAATTTTAGAGAAATTTAATTATTTAATCTCAGCTACACATTCCTTACCTGATTAAAATGTTATGAAAAAAAGTTTTTCAAGCATTTCATATATTATTCAATGAATTGTTTAAACCAGTAAACTCATCTTTGTTGTGTTCATTAGTAAAGTTTAGATGCTAATTTCTTTGGTCTATGTTGTATTTGTTTCACTTTTTAGTCTTCATTAATGCACTGGTTAAACAAAAATGTCTGAATTTCTGGGATGAGAAGTTATTTATATGTGGACTGTTATCCTTATCTTTGTTGTTCTTATCACGTTTCAGCCACTGCACCCTCCAGGCTTCATCAGGTGTTTGCTGATTTAGGTAATGCTCAGGGAATTTCGAAAACTGAATCCTTTATTTAATCTACAAAGGTAGATTATTCTTGACCTGCTGTTTAGGGACATCTCATCTACTTATTTAGCACTGCTCAGTTAATTGCTCATCCAAGCATACACTGCCTGACTCACAATAATTGTCATCAAATTCATGAATCAAAACTTTAAACCTAACCTGCTTGCTGCTACTTGTCACACTTGACTGCTTTCACTGATGATTCTCTTTCCTGCAGCTTAAGCCTTTCTAGATTAAATAAAGGGTTCAGTTCAAAATTCCTCCCAATTTACTTAGGTCAACAAGCATCTCTAAGGGCACAACAACCAGAATATTGTAATAACAACAATAGGTTACATGTAAATAAGATTCCATTAAAGATTTTTTCTTTGCTTTCATCCACCACATCATTTGCTGATGAAATAACTTAAAAGTTTGAACATGGGATTTATTGTTATGAATGTTTTAAGAGTGTTTTCTTCAGATGGATGCCTATGGTGAAGTAAGTGTAGCAAAAAAGGATCAGAGAGACTTTATATATATTATTCTACAGAAATTAAACCACACCAACACTAAAAATATAGTACATCTTTTACTGTAACGAAACGCACAAAAATTATAGACAGAATAAATTTGCCATGTGATACATCATTAAATACATTTATCCCATTGACGCCAAGCAAACATGTAAAATTTACAATGTACTATGGAAAATTAAAAACTTCCAACCTCAATTTTACCAATAAAAACATACCTATGAAATCTAAACTCCAGAACACCAGTGTAATGTATCAACTTCAATACCCTATACAAGACTGCATCACTTGTAATAAACCAAATATCTACATAGGATATATATATCAGTGTTAAATCAAAGATTGACAATCACTTAAATGATTTGTGTCATAAAAAGCAATTAGACACCCAGGCACAACTATCTACTCTCATTAGAAAAATTCTTGTAGATAACACTGACATTCTAAGGAAATCTAATTATAAAATATATATTAAGATAATTGAAACTCTATATATAAAATAGCTTAAAGTCTCAATCTTACTCTATTTGATAACTGTAGTAATGTGTTGGCTGTCTTGTAAAGAAAAAAAAATTACAATGCATCTCATCTAGCTCAGCTTTGAATTAGCACTTCTACAGAATACATAAACATAAGAAAAAATTCGGAGAGACTTTATATATATTATTCTACAGAAATTAAACCGAACACCTTGAAAATGGCCAAAAGCACCTGGGATAATAATCACCGGACAGTTTCTGCATTCTCTTAGCCCTGCCACACCAAAAGAAAGCACATTAGAAATACTTAAAAAACAAGATTTTCTTTGTCTATTGCATTCAATAAAATGTGTATAAAAGAAAGGCTGCTGTGCATATTATATATATATATATATATATATACACACTTTATAAATTCAATATATAACAAAAGTGATAACTGCCAAAAAGAATGGCTAAAGAATGAAAATCTAAGGCAATTTAAGATATAAAATATTGGAAATTATATATATATATATATATATATATATATGCAGATATATAAGATTGTCTTTAGTTCACAAAAACCTTGTTCCTAAATTTAAGAAAAAATAATTCATGAATATAAAAATTTTTTATTGGTGTAAAATAATTAAAAATAATAATTAATTAAAAAGTGTGAGTAAATAAATGTTAAATAGTCTGAATTTGTCTTAAAAACTTAAAAGAAAGCCAGACAGTATAGTAAAAATTTTCATTTTTGTGTGCATTTTTTAGAATTGGCTCTAAAAAGGAACACCAGAAATAACTGTCATGGTGGAATGTTTGGGGGTTCATCTTTCAAATTCAGAAAAAATATATTACCCTCATATTTAATGTCCAATGAAAATGATAGCTTTCACCATCATAAATTTAAAGTTGAGGTCTGTTAAGTCACACCTGAGGGTATTTAAGAACACAAGTCAGCAGATACCAATGGAAAGTGATTGGAGACATCTGAAGAGAAGAAGCCTGCTGGCTGCGAGATAAGGAAGTGATACATCACATAGAAGGGATTAGATGTCTAGAGTGACCAAGGTCAAGGGAGACAGGTTTATGTGACTTGGACATTAGCTACAAATCTGGCTGTGGATAGGACAAAAGCTTCCTTGTGAGAAAGTTGCCAGCATAGAAAAGGGCAGAAAAATCTCAGAATTCTTAAAAACTACTCTGACAAAAAAGAAGAAAAAGGTTGATCATGAAAGGGAAACTTCAAAAACAAAGAAATTGCAAAAGATCTTTAAACCTACCTGGGATTCTTGTTGAAAAAGCACACATTTTTTTTTTTTTTTTTTTTTTGTTTATCTATTAAGTACATGTGTGCAACCTCTTTTTCTAAGAATTTTTTTTTTCTAACAGTTTTTATTTCTCCTTCTTCAAGTTTTTTTTTCTTTGATTTGAAAAAAATTGTACTGTTAATCTAGGGCTAATTATTTCTATAATTTTGTTATCTTGCCTTGTCCTTAATAAGGCACATGAAAAGAAGTTTTTGTGCAGGGTTTTTTATTTTGTAAAATTTGTACTGTTATATCGTTTTGTATCAGTTTACTAAATGCTTATAACTTACAAATTTCACAAGGCAGTTTTGAGTTACAATTTGCACCTTTTTTAACATTCAGAATAAGAGAGGTGATGATCTTTCTTCTCCCATTCTCTCTCAGAAAAAAATTATTTTTTTTATATTTGGCACAAAAATTTGGTTATTGTAAAATTAAATGTTTTTATATGAATGGCATTTAGACTCTCATGCCATTTTGACAAAATATGAAGTTGGAAACAGTTACTTGTTGAAAAGTAAAAATGAAGAGCAATTTTTGAAACAATAGCGTTATAAAGATGTGTTTTCTTTGTTAATTTGCTTTTATCACTTAAGACATAATACTAAAGCAATAAACCATCTTATAAAGAGATAACTATAGTCTCACAAGTTGCAAAAAGCAATTTCAACCCTGCAGGAATGACATTAAACTACATTGACAAAAAAGAATGAGAATTGGAATTTTTCATTATTTTCTTTTTGTGCTGGAAGGGAGGACACCTATTCATAATCACAGTCATTTATTTACCTGTACACTTCTTTCAAAGGTATAGAACAGCATGTAGAATAGATTCTTCTTTTGTAAAACTTTTGAGCTTACACATTTACACACTTTGAAAATCATACAACATATACATGAAATAAGAAAACAATTTGGACTCATTAAAAAAATGTCTTTTGGAATTTTATTTTCTTATTTTAGCTGAAATTCAGATCTTCAAGCAATTTTTAAAAATAACTTTATTAAAAAAAATCAGCAAAAAGATCTTTCTGGAAAAAACAAAATCAGCAATTTATATAAATCAACACTGCCTGAACATTTCATTCATAAAATGAAGACAACAAAAGATACATATGTACAGATGAATAATTTGTTCCTATTATTATAGGTAAGGCAATTTACATAGAAACAAGGAAACAAAACAGAAAAAAAACATTCTTAGAAGACAAGAATGATGCTCAGTTGAATCTTTCCGAGATTTGTGAAGCTCAATTTTTTTAAAAAGTCAAACACTGGAGAAATTTTAACTAAATACCAATTATTTCAACATTATCAAGTATTGCAGATTTTATAATATAATTAGTTTTACTGATTATAGTTATGTTAAAAGTTGACCTAAAATCTCATTTGCTTTTGAGATCAACTGTTTTCAGAAGCATTGTCTTTACCAGATCCATAATTTCAGATTTGAGATTTAATTGAAAGCTCCATAAAACCATTCATAATTTCTCTTCAGTTTCAAATATTTCCCCCATATCATTTTTTTAATATTTTATTTCCTGTAGAATTTATGAATTTATTTTAATTTTTATTTCTTTTTTTTGTTTTATACTCGTTCTTGATAAACTAAAAATTCAGGTTTACATATATTGCTGCATGTTTAAAATGTAAATATTATAATCTGAAGATATTTAAAATACTTCAAGTTTATAGATTCAGTTTCTAATAAACATTTTAATATTTCAGATGTACCTCATACAGAATGTGTGTGTGTGTGTGTGTGTGTACATTGGGTATGATTATTGTTAATCTATTACATTTATTGTACTGTTATTACTTATGCCTTCCAATTATGATTAAACATAATTTGACTAGCAGTAAATTATACATAGTTTCTTGTAATGAGAAAGAGATAAAAAAAGAAATCTTGGGCATGTTGTACTGAAACTTAAATAAAAAAAAAATATATCTATCAATAACATACTTTTGAAAAGAATCATATTGGGCACAGTTGAAACAAGATCCAATGTGGAAAGCTTTAGCAAAGTTATGTCAGATCCACAGCCAATGCAAAAGTACAGAATAGATTTATGACAGTATTTTGTGCCCTTGTTTTAGTAAATCTTCAGTACTGCTCTGATTTTTTTCTTGTATCTTACACCAATCAGGTAGAGTATTGGTTTTCAGAAAAGTCTCTTGTGATACAGAACGGTTTGGTAATGTTATCATTGCTCCAGCAATGGCACCTTCAAAAGAAAAAGGCATGTTATTTTATTTTTTTAAACAAAAAATAGAAACAAATAGAGTTAAATAACAGAACTCAAAAGAAAAAAAGATTCACAATAAATATTTATCTTTTGTGAATTTTTTTTAAATAAAGGATACAGATACTTTTTCTTTAATCATATCTAAGTTTGCAAATGGATAAGCAATTACTTAAAAAAATTAAATAAAACTTATTTTCTTATTGAATGTGCTTTTATAGAATTTAAAAAGATACATTATGTAATTTACCATGTTAGCAAACATTATTACTTAGAAAATTTCAATATAAATGATCCTTGTGTTAACCCATTTTTGGGATTAATGGGTTATAGGCAGAAACCTATAATTTTTTTTTAATAATCTGTAATTAACACTGGATTTTTATAGCCAACACTGGATTTTATTACAGGCATTAATGGGTTAAAGAAAGAAAGAAAGCTGTAATCATTTTTACAAATCCAGGTTACATTATTCCTAATAAGTGCAATAAAATAAATAAAAAATGTATAACAGAGATTTATTGTTGCCATACTTACCACCTAACCATGCAGTATAATTCTCTTTGGAAGGTGGTTGATGAAATTTAAATACTTTCAGTTTCAATGTGTCCATATATTTTGGTTTATTTAGTTGGTTATAAAGTTCCTTCTGAAGTCGGCTGTAAAAACCAGGTAGAATGCTTGTCCCTCCCATAATGACAATATTCTCAGCCAAGTCTTTGCGGACATCAATAGGGCACTGTTAAGGACAAGAGATACATTTCAATATTTAATATTTTGCAGATAAGAATTGTTTTTTTTACAACCAATCTAGATTTAGGCCATTAAATACACTGCTTTAAAACATAACAGCAACCAGTTTAGACATCTTTTTATTGATATCAAACATCTCATAGCAGGGTTTCCACAGATCTGTGTAAAAAAAAATTCTAGGGCTTTTCAAGGACTTTTTCATTACTATGTTAAGAAGTTTCAAGGCAATTAAACTGCATGTTTGCATGCACACATATGCAAAGTGAATGGTCATCAATTTCAAAAACACAAACTTTGTGATTTATCTTTTAATAGTTTGACAGAGGAGATGTTCAAAGAAAAGCCGCAACTGGTGCCAATAATTCATGACACATGGATCAGTTGAAAGCAGTGAAGAAATCAAAGTGTTGAAGGATAAAACAACTGAATGCAGGCCTGGATATGTTACACATTTTGTGTAGCATTCTACACAGTCATTATTTACATTATTCGGACTATTGTCCTCATCTTTGTCACCATATTTATCACAACGTTTTGGCCGTTTATGCGCTCGGTCTTCTTCAGGTGGTTGGAATGTCGAACTCGACCCTTTATTTAAGCTCACCGGGGTAGACTGTTCTAGTTCCACGTGCCATGTTTGATGGATGTCAGTTATCAGTTATCTCCTGTTAATTTCCCTCTGAAAGTTCTCCACTGCCTTATTGAGCTCACACTCTTTGGGTCCTGTCACTGGATCTAACCAACGACTTTATCCACTGTGCCATGTGTCCTTGAGGACATCTGGGTATGAATTTCTGGGTATTATAAACCTAATGTCATCAGCAACCATTTTTACCAGTGCTCATATTGCAATTTTTGCTGTTGTTTGTAAGGAGTGCCAGAGAAAAGCAATGATAACAACATAGTTGCAATATGAGCTCTGGTAAAAACATAAAATGATAACAGCAAAAATTGCAATAAGAGCACTGGTAAAAATGATTGCTGATGACATTAAGTTTATAATACCCATAAATTCATACCCAGATGTCCTCAAGGACACATGGCACAGTGGATAAAGGCGTTGGTTAAAAGAGTGTGAGTTCAATACCCGGTTAAGGCAGTGGAGAACTTTCAAAGGGAAATTAACAGGAGATAACTGACATCCATCAAATATGGCACATGGAACTAGAACAGTCTACCCACCTGAAGAAGGCCAGAGCGTACAACGGCTGAAACGTTGTGATAAATATGGCGACAAAGATGAGGACAATAGTCTGAATAATGTAAATAATGTACATAATACCTCATCTCAGAAATATAGACAGATTCTACACAGTCATAAAAATAAAATTACAGTTAAAACAATACAAATTTCAGTAAACAAAAATACAAATTAAACTATAGTTTTTATATTAGTTTATCATAAAACTCTTGTTTTAAATCTACAAATAAAAAAGGCTTTTGATTCACTGGATTTCATACAAAATGTCTTAAACTGAACATACCAGTATTTTTCAGTCTAGTCTACCCAACTTTCTTCCTTGTGCAATATTGTATATGTGTGTTCAAAGTCAGAAATTCAATAGTAGTGAGAATAAATGGTTTGTATGAATGAAAATGATAAAGAGAGAGTTTCTTTTAAAACACTCGCCTTGCTTCTTTTGAAGTGGTTCCAAGAAAAGTATTTTACTACTTTTAAAATGTTAGCCTTGAATAAATTTTTAATTGTCTAGCTTGTTTTTTTAGTATACATTTTTTGAGAGAAGTGTATTTTTATAAAGGTCAGACAGTTTGTGTAAAAAATTGTTACACTTGTTTATCTTTATCAGCTCAGCAGTTAAAAAAATGGTAAAATTGTGAAGAAACCATTTCAATTTTATGGGAAATTATTTTTCATATATATTGACAAATGAGAGATGTGGTGTAAAGTAAGAACCTGAATGGGGGCCTTGTGAGCCTATTTCTCCAAATAAAATAAAACTCAGGTCAGTGGACAAGGAGAATACTTTTTGACAGCAAGGGGACAAGGCAAATCAACATAAAGCAGCAGAAGGCATTTGACATCAAGAAGAGAGCATTAAGATGACACAAGGTTACAAGTCAGCTGCATTTTGAAGTTCAATTGAAAATTCTCCTTGGTTTGGACAACAAAGAATTAAATTTTCCCAAGCATGAACTGTGAATTTAAAAAAGGACTTTTCTAAAAATTAGAGAAGCTTGTGGGGCAAGTAAATGTAGTTTTTTTTTGCTTTTTTTTCTGAAAGGTGGATGCACCTTTGTTTTTCTGGCTTCTTGAATTGTTTTCTCTTTTTTTCATTGAATCCTTGTCTTTAATTTTTTTACATTTTTCAATAGTAAACCTTTTTTTTTTATCAGAAATTGTTATCTTGCCTTAATAGACACACGAAAGGAAATTTTTGTGCAAACTTTGTATTTGTATCTTTTTGTACTTGTGTAATAAATGTTTTTCCTCTAAAATTTTACGCAGTGGTTGAGTCTTACTTTGGGCATATTATGACTTTCTACTAACTAGGAATTTGTGTTTGAACTTACATTTACTTGGGAAAACCAGTCAGTGTAGGTTGCCTTCTCATTTTCTGTTTAAGTTCCAAAAGTTGGTTGTCTTTCTGATCATTACCATGACTTTTTAAAGCACTTTTATCCATGTTGCAGACATCAAAGTTTTTTTGCACACCATGCAGTTAGCTTTCCATTTTGAACCATGTTTGGATGGAGCTAACCCGCTCTGATATTCTTTTTTTAGTAACCAAGCATCACTGAACATGCAATCACCTTTCATCTTTACCAAAAATGGAAATACTGTGTCATACAAGTAAGGGTTTCAGTTTATATATGCTCCACACACAAGGCAGAAATACAAAAGTAAAGGGATAGGTTTGCCAGATTTAAATTTTAATATAAGGCCAAGCAATAAAAACCAAATAAGTTTCATCATTATTTCACACTTACAACTTACCTAAAAAAGAAAATACAGAAGTAACTACATGTTCATGAACTCATTCTAATCAAGAAAAGAAACCACCATTCACAATAATTGCTAAATATTATTAACAACTAGAAAAACATTTTTCTTAAAGGACAATTTTAACTGGTAAAAAATCCAGATTTCTGGGATTTGATATTTTGACTTTCATGAATTGAGAAAAAGGATGTGTGGGCAGCACAATTGAGAAAATTCCAGCTTTTAGGCTATTGCTGTTTTTCCAAGACTTTTCAAGCCCTGGAAAAGGCCTTGCCAATTTTCAAGAAGTTTTCAAGGCTTTCAGGACATGTATGAACCCTGTCATAGATATTTGGGGAAAAAAAAAAAATCAAATAAAAAGCAATCACAGCTTTATGAAATTTAATTTTAAAAAATATCAAGTGTTGGAGTTTGCAACTTTTCTTTGCATATAATCTATATATAAATTTCTGTCTGAATTTCTGTAATGAGCAATTATCTCTATTTATATTGAAACTAATGACCTCATTTTTGCTGTTATATTACAATGTTTTGGCCATTGTGCTCTCCAGTTTTCTTCAGGTGTTAGTTCTACAGGACAATGGCCAAGTGGATTAAAGCATTGGTTTGTGAATTTGGTGATCTAGTAATTGTGAGTAGAATTACTGCGCCAGCTAGTTTAGTGGAAACAGGGTGAGCAATAACTGAGCAGTATTGAACATAAGAATAGGCAAGATATCCCTAGATATAAGGAAGAATAATCTACTTCAATAGATTAAACGAAGGGATCAATTCAAATTTCTTTGAAAGTTACCCAGATTGACAGGTACCTGAAGAAGGCTGGAGGATAAAATGGCTGAAATGTGATAACAAAGATGAAGACATTAGTCCAAATGTAAGTAATTATTGTAGTCCGAGATAATCACGTACCCCGGAAAAAAGTTCGTGTTTTTTTTGCGATCTGCCGGGAGGATTGCCAAAAAGAAAAAGTAGTCAGCAAAACTCTTATAGCGATTTACCTCGTCAACCCAAAAAAAGAAACAAGTTAAAAAGGATTCGCTATAAGAGTGTATTAATATGCAAATTACGGAGCATCCTATCCCGGCTGTATGCGAATGGAAAAAATAGGTTCTGCCGATAAAAGCAGTTGGTGTTGTCGACCGGGCAAAAAATTTGGGCAGTTTTGGCTACGGCGTTTTGAGTTATTTTCCTGACGTTGTTACAAGTGATTCTCTTTCTTTGTGTTGTGAAAGCCACAATTTTGCTTTGAGAACGCTTTTCTTCAAGCTATTTCGTCTACATATATCGTCTACTTTGTCTCTCGCCAAGATGGCGGAAAGACTACATTCGATATAAAACTGATCCCCGAATTCAGTGGTGATACTAGTGGACAGTCTGTGGTTGAATGGATCGAAAAGGTGGAACTGGTCTTTGCGAATTATGCAGAATATCGAAGATTGATCGGATTCTTCCTCTGCGATTGAATGGCGGTGCCCTTGCTGTGTATAGGCAGCTGAGTAAAGAACAGAAAAGCGACATTGAGCAAATAAAGCACGCTCTACTAACCGTTTGAACTGACCGGTTAGGTTTTTCTTTGACCAATTCAGGCACGGCGTCTGCGTTTGCGAGACAGTAGACGATATTTGGCAGAATTAAAGAAGCTCGCCGTTCAATCGCACCGCTTCCTGAAGAATGGATGACATGTGCCTTCGTTTCTGGATTGCCCAGTCATGTTAAGCAGATACTCCGCGCATCATCCAGAATGGAAGACCTGACGCTCAATCAATTGTTGACCAGAGCCCGTGCTGTCATTAAAAAAGAGGCTGATGAACCAGTGAAGACTCTGTGCGTGAGGTTGTCAGACCAGAAGAATCCTCAGAAGAAGAATCTTCAGAACATTCTTCAGATGATGAAGACTCTGCGCATGAGGTTGTCAGATCAGAAGAAACCTCAGAACATAACACACAACCTCCTCCCACAGTTGCCCCTCCGGAGAAGCTTAAGAATAAAGAAGCCCGCCCATGAGTGTCACTTATGTGATTCAA